AACATTTGCCCATTAAAATGTTGAAAATTATGCAAATGTACAAATTATGCATAACTGGTGGTGGCCGTTGCGTTCCCAAACGCACTAAACTCACAGCACATTCAATAACTGAGTTCACTGCATTCACTGTGAACGGAGCCGCTCTGAGACGCGGAAAACACCGGATCACGAGCCGATCGCGTGCGCTGCGCAATGTGCGCGCTTCACTTTGAAACAAGCAGCGCAGGTGGGCCGCCACAGTCTAGTAACTAGTTAATGAATGGGAAACACTGCTCCATTTTCAGAGTACACACTACAACGGTTTTCAAATTTTTGACAAAACACGGTCTCAGTTTGGACAAAAGGCCAAAATGTAGTGGGAAAAATATGCTTTTTCAAATTTATCTGGATTAATGTGGACATAGCCTGAATGGTTCTTTTTGTTTTGAGACCCATGATCATATTAACTGCATTGTAACTGTTGTATCAAATGTGTTTTATACTTGAACACAACTGCACAGAAACTGCACCTGAGGTTAATTAGGTCGAATAAAAATTCCATCAGCATCAACTCCTTTCAACTGTGTTCATTTTAGCCAAAATTCCTCTAGCACTGAGTATGTGGTGAGTAAATTTCCCTCTCCACTTCCTGTAAAGCGATATATCGCTGTACATTTGCTTCCTATGCCAAACTGAACATTATTGCTCACTGCTAATCTCACTCAAGATGGTCAAATACCCTGTGAAGTCCACTGCACGAGACATTTATCAAGCAACGTACGGCTATAATTTCATACACTTCAGCAGCCACATTTTTTTACATTACAGCCATACTTCCTAAATGATCTAGGCTAAATTTGAAATGTAATGAACACATGAACAGAACTGTGATACACACATAAAAGGGGGAGAAAAAAAATCACAGGTTTGCAAAAGAGCTTGACCTACAACAAATATAAGTCAAGCAAGATTTAATTGGAAAGATCAAATGAAAAACAGGTTTATAGCCTCTAAGCAGGTGCGATTTAGGTCATGTGTGACTGAGATGGCCGCAAGCCAATATTATGATGGCTCTGGGATAAAAGCACAGGTTCCATGACTTGCACAATACAAACGGGTGGGTTGTTTATACAATAAAACCACAATCACAGTCCATCTCTAATCTTATTCATAGCTCTGCATACCCTCACCAAAACACACAACACAAATTAAATGATATATAAATGAGCAGCCTGGAGGTGTGGAGGCCACACACAGCTGTTCATGAGTCCATGACCTCTCACCTGACGCAGCTGCCCAGCACTTCACCATCACACTGTGTCCCAAATCAATCACCACAGCCTTCATATCACAACTTATGACATTACTGGGATTAGTTTCAGCCTTAATGAAAGTCCATGTCAAGTGTTTTTCACTGAATGTCTAGAGAGTCATAGATACTGTAGGTAGGTAGATAGATAGATAAATAGACAGATAAACAGAAAGAAATAATATTCACAATTTCAGTCATATCATATTTATTACAATTGCACTTCAATGAAAGAAGAGAGATAGACAGACAAATAAAAAACTGATTCAGTGTGAGAAATGTGTGTACATTAGCAGCCAGACAGTCAACATTGAGTTTATCGCATATAATAAACACATAAAGGTAAGAAACCTCTACATTATACACAATATACGCAATTTATAAAACATACAACCTATGTATTAGAATAAAGCGACACAAATAGAAGGAATGACCATGTAAAATAAGAATAGGAAACGGAAATAACACGAGCGAAGAGAACAGCAACACATAAAACAGACTACTCAGAATAATTATATTACATTATATTCGCATGTTTGTCAACTGACAGGAACCACAAATAAATTCAATACAGTCGTGGATTAGGCGATATCTTCAGTGACAGTGCGAGCTTACAAGACAATTACAGCTCACCAGACATCGCCTAAATAACCTCAAAATAAGTAACAATAATCACGCATATGATTAACTCGGGATCTATGCTAATAAAGGATCGTATTTGTGAATTGTCTGCCCATCAATGATTATTCGCCTGCAGCTAACAGGCTAGCGGAGTCCTCGCCACAGCTAGCCCCGGCTACACAACCAATACATGCCGAGCTGTGGGTTGCATTTTCACAAAAGCTGGACTGCATAGAATATCATTTATATAAACCGAATAACATCTTGACATTTCTAAAGAGACGTAAAAACGTGGAAAGGGAGCTGTATTTTGAAGGAAGGAAGCTAGCGCCAGTGGGCAGTGTGTATGTGTTTTGCATGTCTCCAATGTATCCGCAAATCCATGAGAACTCACCAGACCAGCCGATGTGTTCAAGCTTCAGTGAGAACCGCTCTAAAGAGATCCTCCTGCGCTCTTCCCAGCCATTTTTCACGGGTGATGCCAGAGCTTTCTGCCTTTAATGACAGCAGCAGTATTTATAGGCCGCTGTCCCTTTAAGACCTGATGCGCGGATCCGATAATGATACACATCACATCCGATTTATTTCTTTCTTCTTTCTTTCAGCTGTTTTCATTCACTTGAGACATAACTGACTGCGTTTACCTGAATGATTGTCGAGATGGGTATTTTGTCAAAATATTATGTGTATGTGTCTGTTCAGAGGATTCAGTTCGGTGTTCGTGCGCGCTTCATGTGTGTGCGGCTGTGCGCGTAGAGAACAGCGCGCGAGTAACGAATCGAGTTCCCTTTCACCTTTTCTCTCTGGAATTGTTTAAAATTCACTTGCTTGTGTAAATACGAACAAATGATAAACTTATACTCTATTATGGTTACATTTTGCAATTAATCCGCGGATCACATGCGTGCCGAACCGTGGGGCTTGGTCCGTACGTTTAACCCCTACTAAGAACCAGCTACATCAACAGGGCAACTGCTATGCTAAATTATAAACAATCATAATACAAGAAACATAATAAATATGGTGCATTGATTTACCTATGATTCCTTTAATGGCAGATACAAGATCTCTCTGTTTGTTGGTCTCAAGGAACAGTTCATCCGCATTGTTCACCAGAAACAGTGTGGTAAGAGCACACAGATGAGCCCCTGCTGAATGACCTATTAATATTACGTTGTCCTGCATAAAAAAAAAAGTGTAGCCTAGATGAAACTGTTTTATCACTTACAACATAACATATGAAAAATATACACTACCGTTTAAAAGTTTGGGGTCAGTAAGATTTTTTTTTAAATGTTTTTGAAAGAAGTCTCTTACGTTCTTTATGCTCACAAAAACATGCTATCATTCTATTTCTAATATGCTGATTTGGTGCTCAAGAAACTTTTCTTATTATTGTCAGTTGAAACTGGTTGCTGCTGAAACCCTTAAGTTTTTGTAACAATACTGTGACATTTTTCATCAATTTAATGCATTCTTGCTGAACTGAAGTATTCATTTCTTTCAAAAAAAATCTTACTGACCCCAAACATCTGAATGGTAGCGCATAGCACAAGCACTTTGAAATATGAAAGTGCTAAATATTAAATTAAACATTTACCATTAGCAAAAGTACATTTAGTAAAGTCAAACTGTGGCATTTGTAATGCAATATTAACACCTTACAGTTTTAAGTTCATGGAGGACTGGAAACTTACTTGATCAAGATTGAATGTTTGTCCCTTTTCTCTCACCCACAGCAAACTGTCAGTTATGTCTTGAACCATATTTAAAACATTTCCCTGAAAACACAACGAACAGTTTGGAAAAAAACAAAACACTACACTAAAAAAATATCAATATTGAATACATAATGTATAATATAATGGTAGCTTACCTTTGGATATATGGAATAATCTGGACAAATTACAGAGGCATTAAGCTCTTTTGCCATTTGTAAGGCTAACAGACAGTAAATGGAGCGGTCTCCTGATCCCCAGGCACCTCCGTACACAAACACAACCACTGGTACAGGAGCAGCATCAGAATGGCCCATGTTTGGTGAATAGTATAAATCTAGTTTGTTCCCTCGCCGACCAAAGGTTATGCCCTAAGAAAGGATAGAAGCACAATCAAATACTGTAGTATAATAAAAAGTGACAAGTGCTTTTTCATTTGAATACTACAATACATTTTGGTAATGCAAAGAATTACTGCTGTCCTAAATATAGACAACAGTAGCTTTGTTTCTTAAAACTATCTCTGTACTGCATAGCATCCTGTAGCTAAAGAAACCACATTAACAGGAATATAAAAATAGAACTAACTTTCACATAGTGCTTGTTATTTTTGTCATTACTGTACCACAGTTTCCATTGAAAGTACAGTTTGCCATACTGCAGATATTTCAGCATCTCTAGCACGGCTCTTGTAAGGCAGTATATGCGCCTGCAGGGAATGCAAGAAACATCTGCATCATTAAAAAGCCAACAATAAAAGTAGAGTAACATCAGAATGTTAATGCTATGTCACCTTGGTTTGAGAGCCTCTATATATTTTTGGTACCCTGGTTTATTGGGCCAGCCATAGAGCCATTGGGCAACAAGAGAGACACTGTAAGGGAGGCCCACTAATAATGCCCCTGCCACCACTGGAAGAGAGAGATAGCACTTCAACGCAATCCTGAAACAGAAAAAAAAAGACACAAACAAAAAGATCTGGGGACGCCACAAAACATGATTACAGTTTAATGGACATTAATTATATGTATTATTCACACAAACTATTTATGAGTCTTCTATGTTGTATGACATTATTTTAACATGATACTAACATGATATTTTTTATGCCACCTAAAAACAGTAATATTGCCAAATATTATTACAATTTAAAATAACTGTTTAATATTTTTTAAATATTTAAAAATTTAATTCATTCCTGTTTTGTCAAAGCTGAATTTTCAGCAGCCATAATTCCAGTCTTCAGTGTCACGTGATGCTTCAGAAATCATTCTGATTAATTTTTTGTGGAAACCGCAATACATTTTTAGAATTCTTTGAAGAATAAAAAGTTGAAATTAACAGCATTTATTTGAAATAGAATTTTTTTTACATTATTATTATTATTTACTATTTTTTTAATTATCTAATTTTTTTTTACAAAAAAATTGTAAACAATGTAAAGTCACTACTGTCACTGATCAATTTAATGCACCCTTGCTAAATAAAAGTATTCATTTCTTTCAAAAAATACTAATCTGACATTGTTTAACATGATACTTACATTGTTTTTATGCTGGTTTTTAGTTCTAATACCTGGAGTAGCAAGAGAACAGAAATGATCATATATACAAACATATATGCATAGAATCAGATACTATTTAGGTAAGCTACTAGAAACATACCTAGAAGAATGACTGTACTGTACTATATATAACATGTAAACTTAATATCGACAACGCCCCCTACAGGAAGATACCGTTTTTGGCTCTTTTCTCTCTGAATGACCAGAAACGTTAATGACGTTTAAAATATACATAAAGGCATGTAATGAGTTACTGATATCGAAGAGAACCGCAACAACGAGCTTGATGTAAAGTCTCTAACAACATAGCTCTTGTTAGATGTATACAGTATGACCTTCCCATTAAAATTTTCCCCAAAACGTAAGATTCGTAAGGCTTGATAAGCATCAAATAAACATAGTCCGACATTGCATCTGTTACATAATGATTGCATCTTGGATTTAGCTACATAATAAAATATAGTTAAACCAACAGAACTGATGCTTTGTACTGAAAACAGAACATCAGTGGTGCAAAGAGTGCATTGTGCAGATGACATACCAGCGTCCCGTGAGCCCAGATGGATGCATTCGCTGCATGATGAACTTCCTCGCTACTTCTTCTAGCATGCGCAGACGTCAACGGTGTTTCTTATTGGCTCGTTGGCTCACTTGGGCGGGACAAATGTGCATTTCAACTCAAACGCACAACTGCCGTTTAGATAAAAAAATATATACATTTATCTAAAAATGAGGATATAGAAAATGAATTGTATTCGTGTATTTTAACGTTTATTAGTATTACAGGTTGTACAATTTACCTCAAAACATGACAAACACAGCGCTGGCGGCGATAAGTGTTTCTCATTGGTTTTAAGCTCTTCCTGCTGATGAACAACACACAATGAATCAACACACGTACATTTATTTACCAGACTGTTTCATCCTTCACAATTTAAGCATGAGGAGCATGCTACCCCACACTAGTGATCCAATGTTATATTATGATATTAATCAAAATATCATTCTTTCATAAAAAAAAAACCACCAACGTGAACTTTTCACTCTGCCTTGCCTTCATAATAAATTTTTGCTACTTTTCAAATGCATTATGTGTAGATTTTGTGTAATCCATGTTAATCTAAAACTACGAAAATCAATTATAAGATATGAATTAGTATGTTCACAATTACATTAAAATTGTATTTCAAGTTGTATAATGATGACTGATTTAATTAGTCTACTAACAAATTGTCCAAAATGTCCAACAGTAGAATCATTATTTCATATAGCATAATTACAGCTTGACTGGAAATGTTAAAATTATATATATATATATATAT